TTATTAATTCCCTTTGGCCGCGCGGGTGAAGCCGCGGATAACAGCTAGTGTGTTCATATGAAGCCGATGTTAAGATTCAACGGTGGTTCATCTGATGTTAAATCTCTTACTTATCTCACTGATAACCTCGTGTGCAAAGCCACGGTTGAGTGCCTTTGGTACCGCTATTAAGGGGAAGCTCTTTATTCGGAATCGTATATTAAAAAAAATGTTACTTATGTTTTCCTATATTGAATTTTTCTATAAACTAATCTATAGGTATATATAAAAATGAATCCCTATTTCCCTTAGTCACGCCATCGAGCGTGAACGGCTGGATCGATTCCGTTTTTTTTTTAATGTTGTGTTTGTTATTACCAGAAGGTTCTATTGAACGAAAAAATAATAATACTTAAAAGTCAATTTGACCTTTTATACCATATCATAAAGTTTAAGTATTAGTGAAGGGGTTCCGGGTATGCAATGTAAACATCTCTTTGCTGTGCATCACTACATAGTTTAAAACAAAGTCGTTCCGCTCTCTGACTGTTCCTATGTATGCTTAGATCTTTAAAACTACACAACGGATCTTGATGCGGTTATTTTTTACTAGATAGAGTGATTCAAGAGGAAGGTTATAATATGTATAATACATTGCACCCATGCGAAGCCGGGGAGGGTCGCTAGTTAACATTACAAATTATGATGGCCGCCTGTTGTTGATTCCAGGTGTTACCAATTTACTCATAATTATAATTTTTTTAGAGCGTGCTGTTTGCGTTTTATTTTCTGTGTACTATGCTTTCACATACACAAAGACGAAGATCGAGGTTATATTTTACTACGGTGCTGTACGGTACGATGCTGTGGTCTGATTGCCCTGCAATTCTAATGTGGGCCTGTCAGCTACTGTTTTTTGGTGTGAGAAAGGAGCAAACGAGCTGGCGGTTCACCTGATGTTAAGTGATAACCGCTGCCAATAGACATTTGCAACACCCGCAGGGTTGCAGATGCGTGGCCACCATGCGTTTAAGATAAATTAGGCCCTGGCTCACTCACTAGGCGAAACGCAAAAGTATTACACTTCCACAGCCACTTCACGCCGGTTTTATGTAAGGTACTGTCCTGAACGGTACTGTCCTGAACGGACCTGACCATTAGTACAACTGTGAAGACTGTTGCGTGGTCGTACTACAGTAGAAACTTATAGACGTAACATATGATTTTTTTATTTCCGTAATAGGTTAAGTCAAATCCGTGCTGAAAGGATTTTTGCTGAAAGGATTGCAACACCCGTAGTTTTGCAGATGCGTTGCCACCTTTTAATAAAGTGGGACCCGGCTATCTCACCCACCAGATGAAAGGCAGAAGTATATATAGCATATCCGCCAAATATCTGTGAGGTCGTGCAACGCAAGACTATTGCTGGCCGTAGCACAAAAATGGTCTTGTCGTTTTAATGAGTCGATTTAAGATATAACTGCAAAATGAAAAAGTAGCTAGGGAGAGCAAGCGTTGTAACTTAACAGCGCACAATAAAACAAGAGTTGCTTCACCCCTCTCCATTGCTTACACAGAGCACTTACAACCAGAGAAATCTAATTATCAATTTTTGCAAGGACAGTTTAAAATTCTGATATGAAGATGCAATAATGTAAACAAACTATTAATGGGCAAATGTTTAAAATTGAAAAATGAGTAAAAATATTAACAGAAATACTGATCAATTGGGGGATTTATGAGCAAATTAAATGCAAAAATCCGTATTACAGTTATTATATCTCTACTATCTCGACTAAAACATAACTGGTAAGAAATCTATCGTAAACAAATATACACTATAAACGCCTTCTATGTACCGAATTTGGACGTTCAGCCGCTACTTGAATATAGATTATATATATCTTCTAACTGAATATACCAGACGAAGTATTTACGGAAAAAGAAACAAGTAAACAGGAAGAGTGTTTCGCAAGAGCGGAGCTGGTGAGCAATCCGACGAGTAAACAGACAGTATGATACTCAGGACGATATCTCTCTATAAAGGATATATACTTAGAAGTATACATAAAAGAACATACAGAACTGAATATTCCTATTAAGCTGTTAAGTAAATCTATTCTTCTACCAGAATTCTACAGAAAAGAGACAGATATTTGCCTCACAGTCGTTTGGCTCTTTCTATGTTCTTTAAGTTTATGGTTGTTGCAATGAGAGGTGCCGTTACAGCCCAGAAGCGTACACTGACTAGTCTTCTATTAATAAGAGTGTTTTGCTGAAAAATTTTGTGCGTTATTGCCCTTATCTTGCATTTTAAAAGTCGAGCTCGAAAAAAATCTAAAGACAGCTGTCTTAAAGCAAGAGACGTGATGCATCCTGATGTATTGCAACTGCTACCCAATTATAACTGAAAGTCCGTGTATAGATTTATTTTGTTCAGTTTTTTTATGATTTACGTTTATAATTATTAGACTTATCGAAAAATTTACACGAATTTAAATCTGTTTTCGGTGGTAGGGCCACGCAGCAGCCTCGGCTCTTGCACGAATGGGCAGGCCCGTCCGGGTAAGTACCATGACCTCACAGAAGACCGCCGTAAAGTGGAAGTATAATACTTTCGCGTTTCGTCTGGTGAGTGAGACGGCCGGAGCCCAATATTCAAAAGGTTGTCAACGCATCTGGAACCCTCGGGTGTAGTGATGTCCATGGGCGGCAGTATTCACTTAATATCAGGTAAACCGTTTGCTCGCTTGGCAACTTTTTCACGTAAAAGGAAATCTTTATTTCCTTCAATTTGCTTGAAACTGTTAACTGTTACATAGTCAAATTCTTCTGCTGCTAATCGTACTGTCGAAATAATAACCATAGGTAACACAGAGTATTAAACACATGACGGTGTCCAAGAGAACACACTTATTAGCTTAATGTGACTGAGGTCGTGCTGTCTCTGATGCGTTCATTACACTGTGGGTCCTAAATCGCGCTAGCGGTGTTTTCGCGTGGCGTAGCATATAAAGAACGGGCGAGCAGTTGCACTTGGGAGTCCGGTACCACTCGGTAAGGCGGTACTGCGCAGCCGCCACCACTAATATGCGCCGCACACCCAAATTTAGACCTTATCCACCAGTCGCATAAGATCCGAACTTCAACATTTGCCATTCTGTCGACTAGAAGAAATTGCTAGACTGTACTCGGATTTACCCGCGGCGACGCTGTAGAATGACGAATGCTTGGACTTTCAATGAAATGCTAACAGCACCTGTGTGGTAGATTTGACTCCTTTTTTTTTTGGATTTGCAACTATAATATGATACAATTTTGTTTCCGACACAACACAAAAATTACATCGATTCAAATTTTTAAGTTATGCCTGTAACCTGTAACGATGCTTCTCATACGATGAATTAAATACATAAGTTTCGAATGTCCTCATTTTCTAGGAACTCAACAAGTTTAAGAACATGAAGTTTGGAGGCTATTGCTATACAGAATTTTATGAATTGACTGGACACCATAAGTAATGAGGCTTTCAAATTGTGGTAGAGCTGCATAGCAGTTTCTTCGGTTGCAATAAATGAACCGGTTCGTCGATGGAAGCATGTCATCACAGTATACAGTCAACGCATCTGCAACCCTCGGGTGTAGCAGATGTCCATTGGCGGCGGTATTCACTTAACATCAGGTGAACCGCCTGCTCGCTTGTCAACTTTTCACATAAAAAAAAACAAAATGTCAGTTTTTCGAGACTAACGCCCGGTTTCTGAAACAGTGATCATCGTATAAATTTACTAATCAGCTGTCAAACGGCTTCTCAAATGTCATTTGAGTTGCCAAAAGGATGGTTAGTCTTTGAATCAATATGATTCATTCTGAAGATTTTGATAATAATTTCTACGATGTTTCAGTGTTTTAGAAACCGGGGCTACTAATTTAAAGTTATCCACGCTACTCAACCCCAAGGGCACCACTTGTGTGCGAATTTCTGTAATAATTTTAACGCATGATATAAAGTTTTATTTTACTTGGAAAAGTGTATAGATAAAGCAGGAATTCAGAAAGTTTCTCTGAAATGTATTAAGTTTTAATTAGAGGCTTTGTTGCTTGTACAACCAGACTTAAAAATGACTACATACATTATTATCCATTTAACTATATGAGACTATAATGCGCTACAAATACCTCACACACCAAGAAACTGGTAATAAGTACTTAATTCGTAAACATGCAGTTATTATTTAAGATGCAATTAAGTAATATAATGTAGAAAACTGGAAATATGCAGCGACCTACTCTGACACGTTGTCTTTTACAGTGGAATAAACATTTTCATTGCTAAGACTGCAAGTACCCAGAATCAAAGCGTTTATAAACATGAAAAACCGGTCAAGTGCGAGTCGAACTCGTACGCTGAGGGTTCCATACCTAACCATTATAGCGCCTAATAAAATTGGTAATCACCACAGAAAATCGGTGATGACACACGGACAAACAGACGGACTAGAGAGTGATCTTACAAGGGTTACTGTTTTACCTTTTAAGTTACGGAATCCTAGAAATGCTGCGCCTCTCCCGCTCGCTATTTAAAAAAATATCTAGATTCGTTACAGATTATAATAAATCGAGACAGAACATCTTTATGAATTGCTTTGACTGTGTTTGAACTCTTTAACGCTACTTTCTGCGCATGTACAAACAACGTCAAAGTAACCACCACGCTGTAAACACCTAGAGGTTTTGAGATTAATAATAATTAATTGAGTAAAAAAAATAGCTTTATTAACTAGCAAGGGAAGAAATTGATTTCAGAACCTGTCTATTACACTGTTTTGATTGAAAAGTCAATATTTCTTATGTTTATTGGCAATCCTTGTACAGATTATTCACGACAGTTTTCATACACCCAAATAAATAATATTGTTTAACTTATATAATTATCATGTTTAATATATATATAAAAACCACGTCCCAAAACATGTGTTTACCTCATAATAATGTGAATGTTCTTTGTTTACAGATTGACAATGACTTCGGGAGGTTCTGGTGCGGTTTTCTTTTTGGGTACCCGGGCTCATTATCAGGTAAATCGTTTTTTTTATACTATTTAATGCTTCTTTATCACTTTGAATTAGAGCTATAAAACACTTAGAAAATAATTAGTATCCAATTACTAAAGAATCGAACCTCAATTTCTAAGTACTGATATGGAATGGGTGGAATGAATCTATACTATTACCGAGTACACAGAAACAATGCTGTTTTAGAGAACTTGCCATTTTGTTAAGATTTCAAATAATGGTTTTTCAAGTAATAAGTTCGAATAACAATATTTTTTTTATTCAAAACTGGCCAGCACTGTTTAGTTGAGTTTTAGTTTTACGCGAATATTGTACTTTTGAAATGAAAATACTTTCACGGATTTTATAACTTATTAATTCACAACATTAGAAATGTAACCTATGACTTAACGTCGCAAGTATCACAAATATGTACATAAATTAATATACTCTTTCATATGCACATTTTAATTTTTTTCACAACTTTTACCAACGTAGTGAACAGCTCAGTCTAGCTTCTAATGATGATTTTTAAATTGTCTATGGTCGGTGTCTTATAACAGTTGTCCATGATTTAATTCCAGGTATTGGACCAGCCCGAGTCTAGGTTCGACTCTGAGAACGGAAACAAGTCCACGGAGACCATTTACCAAAACTCCAACAGCATTCAGGAGCTGTGGCCGAGGCAGCAGACCAGCCTAGCCGCGGAAGATGAGGCAGACCGGAGGAACTGGAACTACGAACACGACGACGTCACCGGTAGCTAGTAGTTTTATCAGTGTACGGGCAAAGGTATCCATTCCATTCAGGCATTGTTTCGAATATAATATACAAAAGAATTTTATGTGCATTCAAAAACGTAGGTTACAACGCATCAGCAACAGTTTAGGTGTTGAATATGTCAATGTGCCGTGGTTATCATTTTACATCAGCCAGTTCGTTTGCCACATTCTCACAAAAATTAAGTAATAATTAATGCACTCGTTAAGTAATAAAATAAAATTGTAGTCAATAGAAAACTTAAATATCCTTCCTTTGAAACAAATCTGAAACGATTTATTAAATACATTACCTACCTGCTCACCATGACTCTTACTATTATATATAATACTAAAGCTCAAATACTAAAGTTTTTCATTCGTTGAGTATAAAAAGTGTAAAAAACAAAGCTTCTTAAATTACATTTAAAATTATGAACAAGCTCGACTGAACTTTATAAATAACTGTATACTTTCACACTTCACAGATAATTCTGGAAAGATTATTAAAAAAAAACCGCCCAAGTCGGGTTCGCACACGAAGGTTTAAGGCTGATATCCAACTAATGTAAAAACATCTATTCTTCCTTCCGTTCGCGTTTGAACCAGTAAACCGGTTTAGTATATTTTTAAGAAGCACGAACTGTTGTTCAATTGAAAACGTACTGTTCAGATTTGTTAATCTCCATGATCACTGGCCTTTCGGCGTGCGAGCGCTATTTTTTTCATTGTATACAACTATTTAATTTCGTATATAACTACCCTGTCAAAATGCTAGACACCGTCTGGATATTACTACTTGTCGGCTTCTTCACTGTCGCTGGATTTATAGGGGTTTACAGTGTAAGAAAAATTTCTAACCAGATTATAATATACATTCATAAATGCATAGATTTCAAGTATCTGCCATCGTGTTAATCATATTTTTAAATGATTACTTAGAAAAGTGAGATAAGTTATTTCATATGTTACAGATACAGATATTAAAGAATTTATCCATCTTCATGGAAACGATTTAACTATAATTCATTTTCCTGTTAAAAAATATTTATAGATCATTCTAATTATATAAAATGTTTGATAACTACATCGTCATTACATAGTCTAAAACAAAGTCGTCTTGCTGTCTGTCTGTCCCTATATATGCTTAGGATCTTTAAAACTACGCAATGGATTATGATGAGGTCTTCTTTCTGATCATTTTGGTCAATTTAGAGAGTTTAACCATCGTTTTGGCAACTAAAATGAAATTTAACAAGTCATTTGACAGCCGATTAGTTGACATCTATGATGATCAGTGTCAGATCATAAACCGGATGTAAGTCACGTATGCAAAGCATACGTGACTTACATCCGGTTTATTTATGCAAATTATTTATTTATTTATTAAGGTACACCAACAGCATAACATACTTACATTTATATGTACATATATTTTTTAGTTACAGATTTTGTTCTTATATTTACGCCAATTATAGGTATACACAACATTTACGATCTAAATAAATAAAAGTAAAAAAAAATTAAAAAAATTAACCAAAGAATAAAGAAAATATATTGTAGTATTTACATAGTATTTACTGAAAATATATGTAGCTAGTTTTTATTATTAATAAAAACTAGCTACATATTTTCAGTAAATTATGTATCAGAAAACAATAAAAGTAGAAAAAAGAATTCATTTTCAATTTATATGCACTCTAAATCAGAAAAAGATCGTAATTTCGTTTTAAAAACATTTAACGAATCATTAAAAATATCCAAATTCCAATCGGCTACAGACATGTGATTATATTTGCTTAAAATTCTTAAAAGTGGTTGATGCTGTCCTAAATTTGTTCGGTAATGTGGAATCCTAAAGAGTTTAGCAATGCGAGATCTTGGGTATTTGTAAGGAACTACTAGGCTTAATTTTTCAAGAAACACTGAACATTTAATATTTCCTGTAATAAATAACCTTATGCAAAAAAGATAGATCAGCTATAGTTCTTTGGTTGCGTAAAGTACACATGTTAAAATGTTTAAGTCTCTGATCATACGGATTCTATGCGAGATGTTCGATGAAATATAGGCTAGGTATCAAAAGGTATCGATAAGATAGATAACGATGAATGCGTGAGCACAATAAGTGGTTACAAAAGAGAGGCAAGAATCGTGATAGGGGTAAGGCAACGTCTCACACTCTTCCCTGATAACAGTGGTCTACGAAAAGGAGAAACAGGAGCTTGGGGTTGGCGTGAAGAGGAGAATGAGACGACGCCAGAGCGAGGCGGCCCTCTGCGAGGAAGAGTTGAGGCCCGCTGTTCTGAACAGCGTGGGCGAGAAGTGAGCGATCCACGCACTATATTTGAAAAAAACAGACAATCCCACATAAACAGTCAGGAATAATAATATATATATTTAAATTCTTGCTAATCTTTGCACTGAGGATAAAACGTTAAATTTGTAGAAAAAAGAGCGAAAAGTATTTCGCCGCTGAGGAAATCGAACTAACTCTTAATTGTCTTCTGGATTCGCGCCCAATCGTTTTAACCACTAAGCTAAAGATATTCGAATTGACTTCTATGACCTGTGAGACCGTGGCAATCCACCGTACAAACCTTCACATTTGTGCAATAGCAAAAGCCACTTGAAGCTCTACCACAGTATTAAAGTTCTTTATAACTTTGATGTTAATCACTACATAGTATGGAACAAAGTCGTTCCGCTGTCTGTCTGTCCCTATGTGTGCTTAGATCCTTAAAACTACGCAACGGATCTTGATGCGGTTTTTTTACTAGATAGAGTGAATCAAAAGGAAGATTTACATGTATATTACATTGCACCCAACCGAAGCCGGGGTGGGTCGCTACTGTTTAATCTTTCCAGAAGGATAAAAACAGTAATAACTGCTGTGAATACTTCCAATGGCCGCTTATCTTCCGGCTCATTTATATTGGCAGACGCCACTGTGTGGGTCTACTGTAAGCGATCTATTGGCGCTCATTTGTATTGTTGCCAGTGAACCGCCGAAGACCAAACCGTCGCGTCGCATCTCACTCATGGGATTCCTAACTTCGCTGGGCAGACGCAAGCGGCGACTGGACTCAGAACAAGTCCAGTACTTGCGCCATCTGGAGAGCGCCCTAACGAACTGCACGTACCGCGAGTCGTGTCGTTGCTACGAATGTCAGGTGAGACGAGAATAAAGTAACAGACTATAAAATAAATAAAGTAGAAGTGAGTTATACTAGGTAAAATCGAGTACCTGTCACGCCTGCTCCTGTTACTTAACAATAATAATAATAGCCTTTATTCAGACAACATACTTATACATTAATAGATACTTTTACTCAATAAATTATGACTCCCGTCTGTGTGCCTCTTGTTGGCAAAGGCCTTCCCCAAATGTCTCCATTTCTCCCTATCATTGGCTATCGTTGTCCATCCACCACCTGCTATGGATTTTATCTCGTCCGCCCATCTTCTTGGCGGCCTACCTCGTTTCCGTTTTCTATGACTTGTGAACTAATGCATTATGGATTTCGACCACTTATCTTTGCCTCTGATGGTATGTCCTGTCCATTTCCATTTCAGTTTTCTGATAGTTACTGTGACATCCTTTGTTTTAGTACATTTCTTTATATTGATCATTCTTATTCTATCAGAAAGTCTCTTTCCCATCATGCCTCTCTCCATGGCGTTTTGACAAATTTCCAGTTTCTGGACATGGATTAATGGTTACTTAACAATAACAGTTACAAATACCTAGCACAAAATAACGGCCCGTTATTTCGTAGTTAGTTTGTCAAATATACGATGCTAAGCGGGACATTGACATTAATAAACTAAAGTGACATTATGAAATAAGGTACCACATTGTGTTGCGTACATTTTTGATTATAAAATATGGAACTTCATATACGAGATCCATATTTGTATGTCGATGTCAATGTCCAGCGTATCAACCTATATTTAACAGACTAGGTAAAATCGAGTCCCTGTTACGCCTGTACCTGTTATTTAACAGAAACAGTGGCAATTACCTGTTACAAAATAACAGCCTGTTATTTCACACTACGTTGTGACAATTTGTGTAACTGTTACCATATTACAGTCCCTACTTCTCCGACCGTACTTCCCTTTCTAACAAAGCTGTATGACCGATGCAAGACTGACAAAGCAAAGATGACATTGTCTCAAAAATAATTTCTTTAACCGACTTCAAAAAGGGAGAAGGTTTTCAATTCGACTCTTTTTTTTTGTTTATTACTTCAGAACTTTCGACTGAGTGAAACCGATTTTGATTGTTCTTTTGTTATTTGAAAGCTGGTGCTTCCCTTGTGGTCCCATATTAATTTCATTGGTATTGGATCTTGGGTTCCGGAGATATTTAGGGAACTCTTGAAAATCAATTATAAAGTGAACACGAGATATTAATTTGAAGTCGGTTTTGTTTTTCATTAATAATAAAATGGACTTCTTTCTTTTTGTCTTTTATTATCTTATAATAAATGCGAAATTTATTGTGTATTTACTTATTCCTATTCTCGCTGAAACGGTTGAATATGATTTGGCGTAGAGATAGCTTAATTACAACCTGGCTAAAACAAGGCACACTTGTTACCACGTGAAAATTTCCAAGTTTAACCATAGATAAAAACGGCATAAAAACTACAAAAGAAACTAGTACCAACATTAAACGCTGTCCCATCTTAAATATAGCCCGTCTTCTGATTAAAACAATATTTTACCGAACGTATTAAAACGTGACAGTTGATGAATATTCCTTCGTACGGACATAGGAATACCTATTATGAACGAACTAAATGATACACTGACATTTTCAGCTTTACATATGGTATTAGGAAAACCTATTTTTTTTTTAATATTTTACCTTCATTTCCCACCCTACGATTAGTTGGATAACGTAGACATGGCCATAACCAACTGCTCGGGCATTATAACCAGTAACTAGACCTTGGATTCGGCTAACTTTAAAATATTTTTAACTTATAATAAAACTAATAGCCTTGCGGGTACAACTTAATGCGCAGTGATTAAGTTCTGTAGAAAGACGTTTTTTTATACGTCAACAACCTTCGCGTCTTTATAAAGAAATCCGGTTTGAGTAATTTTCGCAAGATCCTTACTTGGGAAACGAGGATAATTGTGCCGTTTGCATGCGCAGTTGCCAAGGTATTGGTTTCGGCGTCTGTGGCCGTGGGTTCGATTCCCACGCGGTACAACGATTTGTGTGACCCACAGATAGATGTTTCGCATCTTGTTGTTTCTGAAATTTATGTTTGTAAAACGTCCTTACAACATAGGATAATGTTATCATAAAGTAAGGCTAAGTAAGGACACCAGGGATAAATAGGTAAACTATAAAAACTTAACTATCCTAACTCAATTATTTGCAAAGTTAAGTTTACCTTAAAACGAAAGTTTTTCATAGATATAATATGCACTTGCATGTTTTTTCATAGATTATTTTTATAAATTTTTAAGTTTTCTATGTATTAGTGTCCTAGCTGAGTAACGGACACAAAGTCATTACGAAAATTACAAAACGCATTTACAATAATTACAGTGCGTACAAGCAGTCCACTATGGAATTAATCTCTCATTCAAATATCGCTTATTAAATATTTTTTCGCCCAGTTTTACTCATAAATATAACTTTCCAGAACGTCTAAGTTAGCTTAAATGAATAAAAGCGACAGTTACTTTTGCACATAGGAAATCAGAAATACTTCACGTCATTCTTTTGCGGCCAACTCAATTAATCAGATAGAATTCTTATCCAAAAAGACATGTCGATTAGAAAGCAATCATCTAAGTTTTTTATCTGGTGTTTTTGTTGAGTCATGTCAAAACGTCACACCGCTTCGGAGGACATAAACAAAAAGAATGTCATCACTACGTTAAACATAAATATAAATTATAATGAAATGATGAAGAGAATGATTTTATGAATATTTAATATGTATAAATATATATATATATATATATATATATATATATAGAATATATAAACAAATTTACATAATTATGGAAATTACCTAGAATAAAGAAAATAAGAATGTAATTATTATGCTAAGTTCACAACTAGCAAGCAACAACAAGCTAGGCAAAAATAAATTACTTGAGGATATTCTTGATATTTGAAACCATTTGTTTTTTTACCATTATTGTGTCATTGGCGATATCATAAGGACCGCCAACTGCCTTAGAAGAAGAAGAAATATAAATTATAAATACGTATAATAATACGATATTTAGTAAAGGTATATACTTGTTTATATCACACTGTCCTCGTGTAGTAACTGTGACGCTCATTATCAAACGCTTCTACAAATGAGAGCATGTCTAATAATAAGCATCGCGCTAATTCAGTGACCTTGCTTTGTAGTGACATTTCGGAAGTTGTGAATTAAACTCAATACTAGGTTAGATTGAATTGATTTACTAACGTTTTTCAACCCCACTAATTTAATATTTAAAATCTTTCGTTTCTTCAAAGTATTATTGCTAATATGCTGGATTTACTCATAAGATACACAAATGGGCTAATTGCATCTTTTTAGGGTTACATACCCAAAGGGTAAAACAGAAACCTATTACTAAGACTCCATTGTCTATCTGTGTCTATGTATCTCATGAACGTTTATAGTAACATTTGAAATTTTCACAAGTGATGTATGTCTGTTGCCCCTAAAACTACAAATACTAAAAAACAGAACAAAACAATATTTAAGTTGGGCTCCCATACAACAGACATGATATTTTGCCATTTTTATAGATAATTTCTTCCCTTCCACTCAACAGCAGATGCTGTTGAGGGACCATCACAGTTAATGTCTATAAAGAGAGCTATAAAGCCAGATGAATCCAAATTTAATGATACAACAAATGGATAAAAAGGGTTTATTTAAGCCACAAAACCCTATTTTTATAATCACAGCACAGTCCAACTCTGTTATCGAAGACATTGTCATCATTTTTAAAGCTTGATCATTTGAATTACATATGTAACAGCACCATGCCTATGTAATTTTTTTTCTCTCATAAATATAAATATTCTTGAGTTAAGCCATTTCATAATGAACTTATGTACTTATTTATTGTTGACAATAAAGCTAAAAAGCCATAAAAATTATAGATTAAAAACATTATTTACAACTTGTCATAATTTAATCATATACATTGCATGTAAAAAATATTATTCAACAAATTTATCTATGTCATATTCTAAATGTGAATCAATGTCATCTGTATTCTCATCTCTGCATTTCTTTCTGTCCTCTATCCTCATGCATTTAAGGCACTTTTGGCCTTTCCGCAACCAGCAACCCCTGTGGTACATTGAATTGCATTTCTCACACATTATGGCACCACTATCAAAAGGGTATAACACTTCATTGTTACTACACACTTCGCACAAATAACCTTTTCCTGAGCATAAAGAACAACTTGTGATGTGTGAACGACAAACCTCCGTTAGCTCAGTTAACTGCGTTTCCAGTGTGCCATCGTTTATTGCCTGCAAATGTGACATACTGTATTTTTTATTAACATCACCAAGCTGTATAAACAATGGAGATAACAATGTGCTTCCTTCTCCACAAGCACAGAGATATCGTCTCATCCACTCTAAGTCTTTCCTCATTTTATGAACCCATTCCAACTCCGCTATGAAGCTAAATAACTTAGGGTTTATGTTTTCAACATCTATATATGGCCTTGTCCATGATAAAGTTAACATTTGATACGCAATCCGTGAGATGTACCTCTTCTCCCAGTCCCAATTATGAACCACCCTTGCTGGTATTGGAGACAGGTCATTCCAATGGCAAGTGGCACAAAAATACAACCCAGTATAGTCACACAACCTTGGCTCATTCCATGAGTCCTTGAAAGTTAATGCAGTGTGGCATTCAGCACACTTGTATCCTTGAGTGGACAAACCTTTTTCTGGGCAAATATCCATTTCAAATTGTCCTTTCTCGGTCATCACAACATGTGCGCACACTCTGCAAATATCATCTACACATTTGTAGTGACACAAGTAACCGCAATCATTGCATATGTATGAACATTGCACAATACTCCATATTACCCCACTGCAATGATCGCAATATTGCTTTCTGTTGCTAGGGTTTACCTGCTGCTCAAAGTGATGGCCCTTTATCGCCACTTTGACTCTTTGGAGGCCATCGTTTTCCTTCAAATCTTCTAAACGTAACCTCAATTCAACTAAATACCTCACCAGCCATTTGCGTTCGTCAGAACATTGTGGACTGTTGAGAACAAGCTCTTTGCACTGTTTTATCGCTCTCTCGATCTCTTCCCGTGTCGCGGAGCTATGTATTTTGAGTTTCTTGTTCGCAATCGACTTCGGTACGTGATTCGAATCATAGCTCTCGTCTGCTGAAACACATCCCGACGTTGAGGACGATGACGCAGTTCTTGAAGCTATATCGACGCTCCGCGGACTGCAGCAAATCAGGCTATTGCGATACTTAGGCGAATCATTCGCCAACGCTGCGGCCATGGTAATTCACACTGTGATTTAATAAGATTTCCGTAATACCTATTAAATCATTTAGCCCAACATCGTAATAACTCCCCACTCTTGATTGCGCTGTGGTGATAGGTTTTTCACGATTACTAAATGAATATTAAATCAGTTATTACGTTAATCTTAGAACAGGAAAACGTTTGCCCCGTTTTCCTTTGTTTTGAACGAAATTACAGATTTAACAAATGGGTATGACTAGTCTTATCTGTCATGATTGTGATCTGACACTGACATTTTTTTTTACTCTATGTAACTGTACATAGAGTAAAAATGAAATGAGCTATATTTTTTTTTATATAGTCAGCAATGTTATTCTATACTATAGATATGTTAAACGCTTACAAAATCATTAATCACCGGTCAAAACTCAAAAGTGCCCCAAACACAGAAACAGCACACGTTCGCATGTTTCGTTCATCATAATATTCTCAGTCACACATGTCGAATGATAATAATGCTATAAATAGGATAGCGTAATAAAAGCAATAAGTAAAAAGAGGAGGGCAAGTGTTTGCCACTTCAGCTTAATTACAAACAAATCTTACTCACGAAAACAATCACGGCTCGTTTTACATAGACATAACAAATTCTTGAAGCAGAAGGTGTAAGCCCAAGTAATAATAGTGCACGATTTTATGATAATTTTAAATAACTGTGTTTTCATTAAAAAAAGTAATGAATAGTTTTAAAGGACCTTATTTGCAGTCCTTTTCTTTTTTTTTTTAAACTACACAAATTAAAATATAATAAAAGAAATATATGATCGTCTCAAACTTTTATAGGTCGGCGCCTCTCGAACACGGTCCGAGGGGTGTTGGCCATACCAACGGATCCCCGGTCCCGTACCATTGAAGTTTTTAACTTTAAGTGCTGACTTATCACGTGCTCCGCGGTGAAGGAAAACATCGTAAAGAAACCTGCATATTTTCGAAATAGTAACAAAAACAATATTTCGAAATTGTGTGAAGTCCGCCAATCCGCAGTGGGGTCGCGTGGTGGACTATGCCCTGATTCCCTATGTATAGAGGAGGCCCTTGCCTAGCAGTGGGAAATGTATAGGCTGTTACTTTACTTTTTATTCTATTGAAGTTTGTTTTGGAAGCTACGATTTGGGGACCATGCATTCACCCTCGACCATAGAACTTAATTGTTTGATATGAAGGAAGTAGGAGAATTTTTTTTTATCGCGAGCTCTAATTTATCGTCCGGATCGTTCTGATAGTCAGCGTAATCTCTAGGAAGAAAGGATTATATCAAATTATTATAAAATATTCTTGTATAAGGCTTTAGGATGTCTAACAAAATCGACCTATCCTAAGCTTGACATCGTCCAGGGAGAGGGTAAGCCTCCTTCTACGGCCGCTCTCTACCGTGGCATCGTGGGATTTCTTCATATCAGCTTTTTTCTGCGCTTCGCTAGACGCAAGAAGGACCCAGATACGATATAACTTAGTGCTATTGTATTTGCCCAGAGCTGTGTGTAACAAACTAATCTTCGTGCTTTTGAATTTATCTCATAAACCATTTTCAGAGTCGCTATTTCGAATGTGACGACGGCAGTGAAGACTATAGCTCTGATGAAAGCGATTACACCCCACGCTATATTAGACAGCCTGAGCCCATTATGGAAGAACATGATCATGACGACTCCGACGACGAAGTAAGTTTAGGAACAAATATTAAATATTTTACCTTTAAAAAAAAAGGGAAAAAAATAACAAAATAACAAATCGACAAAAAATTTAAAATAAAGAAAGCAATGATCTTAAATTGAAAAAAAAGTAAAAAAATAAATGTGTAAATGATCGTGACACGAACCACGGCCTTCTGTTTCGGGGCCGCCCGATTACCGACCGAACTATTATAACATTTTTTTTGCGGTGAAATTTACCGTCGTATTCGAATGATATTTTTCATTCCCTGAAAACAGGGATAAAAGGACATTTTCTAAAAATGAAACCTAGCTAGATCGATTTTTCGCTCCGAATCTACGCACGTACTAAATTTCATGAAAATCGCTGGAGCCGTTTCCGAGATTCAGATTATATATATATATATATATATATATATATATATATATATATATATATATACAAGAATTGCTCGTTTAAAGGATAAGATTCATATAGGGATATAGGACGTATGTCCTATATCCCTATATGAATGACTATAATTTTATTAACGTTTAACTAAGTTCGCGCCAAACGTAGCTGATGGTTAACCTTACCGTCGAGAAAATTGAATAGAAGATGTCGTTGTTTAGAAGTCAAAAATCCAGAATACGCGATTCATTGCTGCACTCCACTAAGCCTGCCACTGACATCACAAGTTTGATACAGTGCTTTCTTTCTTTTTACTCATTTTAAAAAAAAAAACTACTGTAGGTTAGTCTCTAAGAGGTTCAACAATCGATCAGTTATCTGTAGGCAATAGAAATAATTCTCTCCGCTAGGGCCCGACTGCACCAAGTGAGTAAAAATTCATATTAAACTTTAAAAAATTTTCAAAGGTGTTTGTGAACTCCGTGCCCGGTGACAACACTTCAACCGACCTACTTATCGACGGAAAAGAGAAGATGTCGGTTTCGTCGGATACACTGGACGAGCAGGACGATGAAGCTGCCCTGGATCTGGAAGTAGCCGCTGGCACACCGGTCCTACTAAACTATCTACTTACACATCCCATCACTTGCACTATCCAGTAGTGCGGTAGCATGCCGAGCCAGAGATTGTTATTGCTCTGTGTTGTCAACAGAATATGTAATTGTCGAAGAGTTTGAATTTGAACAGAGTAATAGAGGGTTGAGTTTGCTGAGTGTGTTAATCTGTACGATTTACAGAAAGAGTCACGAGACTGGTTTGTTGAGCGATTGACCGTGCCATAAACCAATCAGTATTGGGAATCATCCGTTAATATTGCAAGCAATTATTATTAAATGGCATCGTAATACAACGATTTCAGTCTATTTTGGATGTAACATTTGTATTGTATGAAATTCCTTCGAGATTGTGTATCTCGTTTTTGCTTAAAGTCCATTTACTTGATAAAATTACTGAATAAGTATTGCGTACTGAAACTAAATTTCGAAATTCTAAACTCAAAGACTCAATATTTGTGCATCGCTTAGTACAAGTGCCTAATAAAATTAAGGATTAATGTAAAAATATTTGTTAATATGGACATGTATGTATGCTGAGCGTTTCCTAGGTTCGCACAAATCCTTTGTATACTAAAAACAAATTTTGCTGAAGAATTAAGTTTTTCGTTCCCTACACGGACATAACTTTTTCGTTCACACACAAAACTTATAATTAAACTAGCGGATGGGGCAGACCTTGTCCATTCCCGAATCGACCTGAAGACACACAAAAAAATTCATTAAAATCGGTCCAGCCGTTTAGGAGCAGTTCAGTGACATACACACAGAAGAATTATAATTATATATAAAGATAATACTAATACGGCCTAATAAATAGTTAGGATTTGCGACGGATTGTTTGATCGGATTTCGAAAATGTTTCGATTGGCCAATAGGTAACTTTTAATTGGTAGGTTAAATAGAAAATCCTGATTATAGTTAAATTCGATTGTAGAAATTAACACCATCGTATCTTAGCATTAAAGCACTGCCATATCGAATGTCGATATCTAACAAAGAAAATAAGTGATTCATCAATTGATATCTAGCCATTTAATTAATAATGAAGCGATAATAAAAAAAAGTCCTTGGGAAATCGCACAAGTTTAGTCACTAATCTCAGTCCTGTAGTTAGTCTACTGTTAAATATTAAGTCCCGTGCATTTATTGTTACCATATGGGACAAGCATTGCATGGTTTTGAACTTTTAACGAAACCGTTTATCCTGCGTGTCACGTGTGGAAGAATACAGCACAATCATGTTTAGAATCGTATCCTCATTTTTTCAAGATAATTCTTATTGTCTAAGCAATTTATATAGATTACATACACAAAGCGGACATAATAGGTTCATGTACAAAACTCAAATCGACAAACATAATTATGTAGGTCATTTTGTTACTTTAACTTTTGAGAATTGAATCCACAACCTGCCGTGCTAAAATAAGTAGTTTAGAAACTAAGCTGAACAATTTATCTAATGCATTTACTTTTATCTATTGAGAAGCTAATTTTCCTAATTTTAGAGGACATTACTAAACTTGATAGACAATTTAGGAGAACAACTATAGATTTTGCTTGGGTAACAAATTTCGGAATGTAATGTTAAATAAACTTGTATTAGGTAATTGTAAGAACACATTAAAGGTCATTTGTAAACTACCATAAACTGCACTGATCCCTCACCATCATGATAGCGGTATACGCATATGATTCGTTTTCCACAATTACAAAAAAAAAAAAAAAACCGGCCAAGGGCGAGTCCGACTCGGGTTCCGTACCATTCATTATCTATAAAAACGACCAAAAAAATCATGTCTATTTCATCATGAATACAGAGCACATTGAACGGTCGAGGCCTGGGCGGAAGAGAACGAACTAACGAAAAGAACATATTTATTATAAATGAGATGAATGAATAATAAACAATTCTGTTTTTAAGTATTTGTTATTATGACGGCAACAGAAAAACATCATGTATGAAATTATCAACTGTCTAACTATCTCGGTTCATGAGATGCAGCCTGGTGACAGACGGACAGACAGATAGACAGCGGAGCCTTAGTAATAGGGTTCCGTTTTACCCTTTGGGTACGGAACGAAACTTTACCCTTAAAAGACGTGGTTTTCTTGTCATTAGGACGTTCATATATTGTAACTCGGTATTCTGAAAAATTTAGTCAATAATCATATTAAGCATTTGGTCTCTATAAACAATTAAGTATTTCAACTAGATGTTTATGAATATAATGTATTGGAACAGCATGGTTTAGATTATGCTTGCTTCTATTAATGGCCTCCTGAAAAATAAAAGACGTATTATTACAAAAAAGCTATTGGAGCATATTTTTAAGTTTGTTATAAATTATATTATTTATTATAAAATATTGTAAAACTAATTTTTTTTAGTTTTTCAATATTTAAGTATATACAAGACTTGATTTTCTAATTGTTAAAGTTTTGAAATAATTTATTTGTTATTTATTCAGGTACATCCCATAATGTTAGCTTTACGCTTTATTGTATACGCTTTATTGTATTTAAAAAGATATGAGAGTAAATAATAAATTACTTACGCCCAAATCTACTGTCTTCATTTTTTTTATTTCAATATCGCCGATAACCTTTCTAACACGGAATGGATAAAACAAACCAGTTTTCTATTCAGTGCTTTTTAACATCTTAAGATTAAGAAATAATAAGCTCAGTGCAAGTCTGCTCTCTTCGGACAAACACCTGGGCCGAATGACAGTTCGCCTCAAAAGTGCTGCCAATCATCCTAGTGAGGGGATTCACAAAAGGAGAATACACACCCCGAGAAGAGTGTAGCAATTACACTTCACTCTGGTCTGCCAAGTAACCAACTCCAACCTTCTGTTGACCCGAGCATTTCTGAATAGAAATCTAAGGCTTTATACGCACTTTATACGGTTAACCGATCACTCGGGAAAAGGACTTAGGAGTCACTCCAGAATGAAGTTCGCCACACACACTTTAAGAACAAAAGAGAACCGCGTTCGTTTTGGGCCGACTCCAGTACCAGATTAACCGTGTTGCACTCTTGCTTGAGTAGCAATTGCTACGAGTCTCGCGCCGAACGGGATTCATTATTGGATTCGTTTATTTACCATTTTATACTTAAGAACCCATGGCAGATCAAGGGCTGTCAGAATATTTCAAATCTGAAATTAAGGTATTGAATATAGATTGAAGTTAAATTAAATTTTAAAAAAAATTACGTTCCCATGAGTTCGGTTGAGCAAACCAATGACTCGTGGAACTGGAGTTTCAAACAAGAAAAGGAATGTAATTCACCGGATGATTAGGTTCTGTCCACTGTCATTTGAAAAGTGCGGTTTGATAAGAAAATTAATTTTCCACCTTTAAAACTTTTTAAGTCAGTCAATAAAAAAAAATAACCATTACTTTAGTTTTATTATAAAAACAGAGAACAATATGCTTATTTTTCTTTAAATTAAAAGTCGGTGGAATATTTTAAATACTACCAAGTATACAAATAAATGTTCGATTTTTGTAGGGGAATGCACCAGCGATAATGATGATTACTATCACAGTGTGTTAGCTATACTTTGTTTTATCGAGCTAAGAAGGTAGAAATATAAATACTTTTACCAAATCACCGTAGTTTCACTTTGCACAACAATACCACTGGTATAATTACTTATTTTATCACTTTAATATAACTATTGAAACACCACTCTAACGATTTAATTTATGATACCGATTGGACAGCACTATCGTGTATACTTCTGGTTTGACAGCCAAGAAGAAGACGAAGAAGACGAAGAAGACGAAGAAGACGAAGAAGACGAAGAAGACGAAGAAGACGAAGAAGACGAAGAAGACGAAGAAGACGAAGAAGACGAAGAAGACGAAGAAGACGACCATGAAATGCTTCATGCAGCTACATTTATACCTCATAGAATGACACTTCTTTTAGTGTTGCCAACAACTTCAAGGAACGACTTCCTTTAGAGTTGCCAACAAGTGTAAAAATAAGCAGAATTGAAGTGCTAAATTCCGATTAAAACATTTTCTTTCATGCTATAGATACATTAGCTGGTTTGTATTGACAGCTATGACGTCACAAGATGGCGTGATGTCAGACCTATTCTTATTTGAAAAGTATTGTGTAATGCAGTGAATACCATTTAGACTTATATGAAATAAATGGTCGGCGTCAGGTTCAAACAATTTCCTGAGAAAACAGAATAAAACAAACCATGGAAATTATATTTCAATTTATTTAGAGATTACATAATTTTCAGTGAAACAGTAATGACATGAGTGTTATGTATTAAATATAGTTTGTTAAATATTAACAAAACAGTCACATTAGTGGTGGTTTCTTCTTGGCTTACGAGCCCTTCTAAGCGGCCAACTTTTTCAATATCCATAAAATTAAAATAAAAGCAAGCCTGTTTTGTTGGAATTTTTAAAAAATCTACACTCCCCTTTATATTAAATTACCTATTTATTGTAGCTTATATCATACAAAATATTCTAAGTTGATGATTGAACGCAAAATTAAACCTTAAATAACAAGACTGCCAATTCAGTTGATAATGATGTTCCACGATTTCAGTCTCTTCGACGGTTTAAAGTTTAATTTTGCCCGTTAACTAGAATTTCAACCTTAATACGTATTAAACCATAACCACTCGCCCGAGCTCTCGCAATGGTTTATGTATTTACGGATGAAACTACGAGCGTCCTGTCCACTGTTTCTTTTTTAACTAAACGCACTCTTGTGCATAAATATAAGTCTCAAATTATATCTAATAATGGGGCAGCGAAATCGGAGCGGCCCGTAATCGAGAACAGCACATGTTTCGCGCCATTGTGTCGATTGATTCAGAGTCTAGCTGCTCTTTTTTGACGCAGCATACGTACAATATATGATAAATTATTATAATTACAGCTAATCATATCGCATTGTGCATATACTTTCTATACAGGTACATGTTTACTTTCACCGAAAAATTGGTAAATTTATCATTTGGTTTTCAAAACCGTGTTCAGTTGTGATGACTAAGTAACACCGCACTCTTTGCTAATCTATTGAATAAAATTTTCTTTCACGTCAAAAGTGATTTCGCCTATGCATATTAAAAAAAAATCTTTACAGAAAATATTTATTTTCAAATGAAAACGTCGTTTTCCAAATGAAATTTAATAGACTTAAATAGCTTTATCGCTGTTACATACAGCAACATGACAGTTTACGGTCCTAAGCCGAATGGTATTTATATAAACTCTAAATCGACAATAATATAACATCAAAATGACAAATGAGTCAGTGCAAGGATTTAAACACATAGTTTATATTTCAGAAGTCAATTCAAATAGAGATCTACTCGAAACCAGAAACAAACGTAAACACTCAAACAATGCATACTGATGTTCTTAAGATTTATAGGTACACTAACATATGTCCCTTTTTAAGTCTTTTAATTTAAACAAAAAAATAGTAGGTACGAAGATTAAAAACCGTAATTAAAAAAATCTATATTTAATATTCAATTTATTTGTTTACTTGGTACATCCTTTGTAATTACAGTTTCAAGTAAGTTTGTTGTGGTTTTGCGTCAGCGAATATGACTGTAATATTAATTAACGCACGTAACAGTCATGTACTTTTATTTAGGTTAAGTCAGGTACCCAAATACCTTAACCAAAATATCATCAGTATAGTATTATAATTATATTAGTGTTTTAATTGAAATAAATATATAATTTTTAACTAATCACCGCCTGCGGTAAGAAAAAGGCGATTTGCAAATTTATTTTAAAGAATTTCTATTTTACACTCAGATCATTCTCTATCGGACCTACAATTGACCCTGTTGTAGATTGTTAGAACCCACAGAAAGGATACTTTCAATTTTCAATTTCAGTTTTTGATATTTTCCCCGTGTTTAGATTATACTAAAGAAAAATTACGTGTACATTGTGCTTAATCTTTTTATTTTAGTTTTTAAATAATGTTATTTCATGTACTGCTGAGTTATCTAAAATAGAATTGAGCAAAATGTAACTAAAATATATTGTAAGTAATAAAAAAAAAACTATTAGACTTGTTATCTTATGAACTCCTCAATGATTCCTTGTCCCTATAATATTTTTTAATTAAGATTATTGAATCTCCGGTTTATGTCTAGGCGGATTGTATTGTGTAACATTTGACAGTTTCAGAGTATTTTAACTAGGATGACAATTAATGCTAAATGGACTACAGTCAGTTCAGATCGATGACGCCTTATATTTTTGCAAAACGTACAAAAATATATATTTTATAATAGTAATACGTTACCTCTTCCGCTAATTGTTATTAACATAGTTTAGAATTTATAAGGGCATAAAAGTTTTTCTTGTGCCAAGATAGTTCTTCATGCTTGATCAATAATACCGATGTGAAAGTCTCATTTGTATTTTTGATAGTTGAGGATTGAATGAAATATGCAGACGCAAATAAAATAATAAACAACAATATAAAATATTAAACAATTGTTCTAGTAATTCTTCAATTTAACAATTATACAATAAATACTTTGTGTTTTTTTTATTTAGTCGACGATAATTGGATCTGTATTGACCGATGTTATTTCTATATACTTTTTTTACTAAAGGAAGATCTTAGAACGCGCACTTTGAAATATGACCAATATAACATACGAGACAAACTCGCAAGGCACATTTTTAAACATTTGGCGTATATAAGGCATGGGATCTAAGACAAGCAATTTGTATTACACTTGAGCAAAACTTTAGCCTTTGTTCTTTTCATTACAGAAATTTCATCACAACAATGCGATTATTAAAGTATAAGTAATCATATATTAAAGACATTAATATAAATAGCATAGATAGCAAAATAATATATAAATAAATAATTTTCCCGCTAACACTGAACTGGACTGAGATAAGTAAAATAATAAAGAGGAAAACTATTGAATATGTTCTCCTCGGCGGTCTCGAAAAATATCACACCCATATTGTCTAAATCTTTTGAGTCTACAGATTTGAGGCACACAAGAGATGGTTTACACGAAGCGTAATCATAATATCCAATAAAATTAATCTGAAATCGTGCACAATCATTGTTTGCAAGCGAAAATTTGACACTTGTTACAATATATAGTCAACTTCAATGTCCATTATCCGCAGATCAGTTTCTAGTGAGAGCTTGACACTAATTATTTCCCATTAAATTATGCATCAAGAAGTTTTTATCATACAATATTCTATAATGAATAATAGCAGTCTTTCCTTCAATTTCACTATTAAGATACATGAAAGTGTTCTTTCCGTTCGTTTCATTTAATAAAATTTATCTAGAAAATGGTCATTAACCATCTTTCCGTATAATAATAACTTATTTGAATCCTCTCTAATTTTTTTTTATTAAAAGTCCATTCCATTTTAGAACTTTGTGTCTGGCAAATATATACATCAATAATTATACCAAAGATATGAGATAACACATGAATAACCATTCAAGCAGTAATTGAGTAAACAATATTATGGCCCTGCAAATAATAGTTGCTTCCAAGTTACTTTTATTATGGTGGTTATGAAAGTAACATTATTGCAAAATTGAAACACTATTGAAGTATTATAATTCGACTATGGTAAAATAATAAATAAATTTCAAATGAATTTTAATCAAATTCACATCCTAAATATATTTAAATGTCATGTTAACATTTCTTGCTGGAAAATTATATAAGTGAATAGTATATGCAAACATTAGCATGGCCTATTCCATAATTTTTTTTAAACCTCAAGTCTCCAGAAATCATATAATATGTATATATCGCGATTTTCATTTATAACTTAAGAATTTTAGAAATACACCCACTTATAAGTAGCTTACACATAAATAATGTTAAAAATTTACATTTACAATGCTGAAACAAAATTTCATTCTTACAAAATTTATAAATTTCAAACATTGGTTTGTTACGACGCCACAATTTACCGTAATCATAACTTATACCAAATACCAACATACACATCATGGGGCAATAGACATTACCATAAATTTTATCTTACTTTCTCTTTTGTAAGCATTACTCTGTAAGCACCTCTTATATTAGCACATCATTTCACGAAGGCTTAACCAATTAAGAATAACTTTGATGAACTAGCTTTGATTTTTCCTAATTTGTGCGGCCGTAACATAATATCAGAACAGACCATAAGTGAATAAACAAAATAATTGACCTGTTAGTTGGGGTTTGAATTAAAAAATTTCACAAAATCCACCAAACTCATACATATGGTGGTCACAAAAACTCAAATAGCTTCACCCCGCACAGTTAGTCTGTTAAGCAGTGTCTTTCGCTGGCACAGTTTGGATGGGTCAAAGTCCTGAAGTCGACAACACTGTTTTAGACACAAGTGTCACACTAACTGTTGTAGTCCTTGTCGCATCTGTCGTCATGATCCCAGTACTTGTGGTTCCTGGGCACTTCGGTGACGTGTCTCCGGGGCGGTGTCTTCCCAGAGTTGCCAGACTCCTGGTTGTCTCCGCTATTCCTCCTGTTCATCCTGCCGCTCACGGAGCTCTGCCGCGACTCGCGCGAACTTCTCGAGGAGGAGCGGAAGTTCTCCCCCTTCTCTTCGTCGTCGTTGACGTTGTCTTTGGACCGTTGCCTCGACCAGTTGCGCTGTCTGCCCTTGTTTGAATCTTCTTTCGCTTCGCCCTTCTCCATTCGCCAGTTCTCCACCGGCCTCCTGCTGTTGCTGGTCTTCTGCACCTCGCTGTTCACCCTCTCCGGTGTTGGCTGGGGCTGATCTGTTGTGTACTGGGGCGCGAAGTCACCTTGGGGCGTGAAGCTTTGGTTGCCCGCGAACTGCTGGTTCTGTATGTAAGCGCCGTCCCCTTGTTGCAGGTAGTTTGCGTAGTTCTCTTGGTAGCTGAACACATTCGGCGGTGGGTAATCGGGCACCGTGTAGTTTTGCTGCATGTTGGGCGGCAGCACTGTCGGGTTGAACACCGGCTCTACGGCCTCCTCTTTCTTCTCGTCGTCCGCCTGCCTCCACGAGTTAAGGTCGTACCTCTTCGTGAGGTTAGTCTTAGTGACCCTAGAGTCAAAGCTCTCGAGGGACATTGCCTGCTCTTGTCTTAGTAGACCGGCTCCCGCACCCAGTATCGGTCTCAATTTGGGCTTGGGGTCGTCGTCGTGATTCAAGCTGACCTGCGAGAGGTTGTGCCCGACTTTGTCCGCCCCGCTGAGGTCTGAACTGACATCGGAGCGATACTCCTCCTTTTCCGGGCTCTTCTTCCACGAGCCGTAGCTGACCTCGCTAAAGCTCTCCTCGCTGCTGAGGTCCAGGTGAGCCGCGTAGAACTGCTGCAGCGTGTTGGGCAGAGGCAGGAACTTGTTCAGGCACAAGTCCGCCGATAGCAGCAGCCAGATGATGTTAACAGGCGGCGGCGTGAGTAGACGCAGCTTTATCGATATGGACAGCTCGTCCAGTTCGTGAGACATTACCGACAGCAGTTCGCGGCCGTTTTGCATGAGCTGAGGATTGAAATTGAACACGGAATTTCGTATAATATTTTCCACCAATCTTATGTTATGACATTTTACATGAAACCTATAAAAAATTATTAACCTATCAGAAATATTTAGTTGTCGACTTTACAAACAAAAGATAGTGTACTTACGGCTGCACTAAGAGACGACAATTAACCATTAACTACTTTTTTTTTACTTTAAATATAGTGCCAAGTTGTCTGTATTTAACATGTTTAAGATTAAATTTCGTTTAACTTTGTTTTCTTGTAGTACTTAAATAAATCTTTATAAATAAATAGACATAGCATATGTAAAAGAAAATTCTCTGGTTTTCATGGTGGTACAACATAAAATGTTATGAATTAAACATAATACAATTAGTAAGACTTTCTGGTTTATCCAGTGTAACAAAATTACTCTGGTTATTTTACTACACCCATATTAGTAATGGTTATTTGTTAATAGGTTAGTATCTTGATAGTGAGCTATTTGGCATTGACGTGCAGTTTCGAGTAGTGCGGTTCTATTCCCACTGGGGACAATTATTTGCGTAACCCACATATAATTATTCCAGATCTTTGTTTCATCTATGTGCAATTCATGTATTTGATAGGATTATATTATTCTACAGTAATGGCAATGATTTTATAAAAAACAGGAAAAAACATGAACTAAAATACCTGTGTGGCCAAGCTGCGATGGGCTCGAACATCATCACTAGCCAATAATGCTCTCATATACTGTAGTAACGGACTCGCCAAGATGTGAACTTTGTTGCCATTGCACAGACGCGCCTCTGAAATTGAAGATTAATCTCATAAAACAGTTAGAAAAAAGTTTTATGTAATTGTTCTGCTAGTAGTAGACGAGCCATGATAGCTCAGTGTCCGGGCTCGCCTTCAATATACTTGAGCAACCCGAGTTCGATCCCCGTTAATTTAAGTGCTGAATTATCACGTGCACAGCGATGAAGTAAAACATCATGTGAAAACCTGCATATTTTCGAAATAATAATAAAAAAAAAATATTTCGAAGATATATCAAGTCCGCCAATCCGCAGTGGGGCCGCGTGGTGGACTATGCCCTGATACCCTCTGTACAGAGGCGGCCTTTGCCCAGCAGTGAGACATGTATAGACTTTACTTTGTTCTGCTTAATTTAAAGACTGATAACTGTACTCAATACCCAAATATTATATTTGACTTTTTTATACTAAAATAAAATGAGATTATAACACACTGCAGTTCTAATCCTAATTATTAATATAACACATTTTAGATAATGATAATGGTAAATGAAGTAACACACATAGTACTCCACTCGGCTCTATTGCAGATTGGCAACCTTAACATTTATTAGAGATATATTTTCATTATGTCTAATTTCCCTTCACCATACCAGGTACATAAGCACTTAAGAGAGATTAATAATTTCATGATTACCTGCTTTTAAAAAACTTAATTATTAGGCTACTTAGATTATAAAAACATTCATCAAAATAATATAGAATAAGTTATTAAACACAATATTGCAAACTTACCTGCAAAATAATCACCCATGAGGTTCGCAGCGTTGATTAAGTACATTGGATTTGACCGCTCCAATATATCCAGTTCTGGAATCAACAATATGATTAATAACGTCATGAGCAAAATTAAAGCAATACCAAGTTGTTAGTCGATGGACGATAATGTGTACATAAAATAGTAATTATTGGAACTGTGCAAATTTTTTACTAAGTACCGTGATCAGTAATCAAATGGTAAAGAAGAATTGACGAAATTGAGGTCGCCAACATAAAAGATGGGAGCTCAAAATCAAATTAACAATGGGTTTTAACTGTTGCCAAGAATAGAAAACAGTGGAAATTGTTAGATGAGGTCTTTGCCAGGAGGCAAAGAGCATCTAACAATTTGTGTTTGTTAGCTTCTATAAGAAAAAGAAAAATGCTTACTGGTGAAAGTTCCCTGCATGACCACATTAAGTAGGGCTCCCCTGAGAAGTTGCTGCCTCTGTTGACGCGTGAACGAGGCTCCAACAGCTGCCAGCTTACGAGAAGTGACCAAACTTTGTAGGGCTGCCGCTCGGAACGTTGCAAACGCCATGCTATGGGAATATTTTTTTTAGTCTATTCAAGTCCGCGTTGTAAAGACCATGATATTTAAACAGAACAATCCACAGAAGCTAATTCAAATAAGTTTTATTTGTTTCAGAAATTGTTGTGTGCGCTATGTATGTAAATGACTACAATAAGAGTAGTCTAGATTGTAGTGATTGTTGGGACTTGCTAACTAACCCTCTCCACACAAATCATAATTTATCTAAATAATCTATACGATAAATATGTGAAGTGAAATCTTTGAATTATAGGAATATTGAATGAACGGAGGAACATGAATATTTGGTTTAGTTAATCATTATATTTAGAGAAACTGTAGAAAGCTACCATATAGCTGACAAAGATTATAAAGTGTATCACATACACTATATAACACACTTTATAATCTCTGTCAAACAGTTACTAATTGTAATAATATTTAGCACATGAAATAAAATAATAACATACTGCAGCCTTGTCTCATCCTGGCACATGTTAGAAACTGTCGTTTCAAAGTGACGAAGTTTTCTGTTGAACTGGATGCCATCTTCGCCCGGTGAGAATTGTTCTAACTGTAAATAGTAAATATTAATAGGATGAACATCACTTCAGTTTACAAAACTGAATATATAAACAGAACTTTCTATTTTATATGGTGCATGGACATTTGGAGTACATATGATAAATTAAAAACATTTGTTTTATCTTTTAAGTGAGGCAAGTTAATACAGTAATTTAATAAGTCATTAAATTGAAACTGTCCAATTTTTAATGGTGTCTAAAAGATTTGTAAATGCTGCACATCAGTTTATGAGAAAAAAAAATAACTTACCAAGACTAAAAGGGGTAAAAACTGTTCATCAATATGCAGTAACTCTTGCAATGCAGGGTCTTCCTCTATATTGGCCCGAGATGTGTTATCAGTTACTTCAATCTCTTCTTTCTTTTCGGTGTCAGGTTCCTTAAACTTCTTTACTTCTACTTTGTTGAGGTCTAGTTTTGTCGGATCTAAAATGGTGTATTTATTTATTAGATTTAATATGTAATAACAATATTAAGAGGTAATACATATTTCAAGTTACATACAGAAAGACACTAGAGTCTTAGTAATAGGGTCCCCCATTTTATGGGTATGGATGGAAACCTAATCATGTCTGTTGGATGGGAGGTACACTCAAATATTTTTTTATCCTTTTTTTTAGTATTTGTTGCTATAGCGGCAAAAGAAATACACTGTGAAAATAAGTACTAATTTACATCTGTAAAAATTTCAACAGTCTAACTATCACGGTTCACGAGACAGATCCAGGTGATAGACGGAAGGACGGACAGCGGATCCTTACTAATAGGGTCCCATTTTACCCTTTGGATATGGAACCATAAAAACAGCTTGGGTAATATTTTTACTTACTCGGTGTCATGCGAAAAAAAAAAATACGTGATATTTTCCGAGACCGCCCCCTTCCCCAAGCACGATTAGATGAGATCCGACTCGACCCCCATCCCGCCTCGAACACCTCGCGTAATTAACGCTCGCACAGAAACTTGTCTACGGGACACCACCTCGTTTACCTGTCGCCCGCGGACTGAGCTCAGCGAGGGTGCGCGCCGCGTCCAACTCCTCGGCCAGCTCGGGATCGCCGGGCCTGGGCTCGCGCAGGTGGTGCCGCCCCGTGTAGCCGCGACCGCGGCCCAGAGTCGACATTTCGCCTGTCGCACCTAAGAGTGAAAGTAAAGCATCAGCCGACACATGTCCCACAGTTGGGCAAAGACCTCCTCTGCACAGAGGGTATCAGGGCGTCCACCAGGCGGCCCCGCTGCGGATTGGCGGAGTTCACATAACTACAAAATGTTTTTTATAACAACTTCATTGCCTGTCGGTGGAATAAGCGCCAATCTTGACGACACGATTGTCCTAATGTGATGACTCCTCAGCGCAGTTGCCAAGGTTCGGCGTTGGGGTAGGGGGTCGATCCCCACCCGCCGTGGTCCGCGCTATGGTGGACAGCGAGAGGTCGTGGGGTGCGGTCCTTGCATTCTGCGAGGACATAATCACCCGGAAGGAGGCCGCGGAGAGAGAAAGGGAGGCAACTGCCACCCTGGAAATCCGCCGCCGGAGACCAGGACACAGGAGGCTGGCCTACACGCGCAACCTTTCCCCCCTGATAGCAAGCCCCGGGGCGGCAGATGTGGGACTAACTGCTGCCCCGCGGAGGGCTTGAGAGGGGTGCCGTGCTCATTGTACCGACACGGCACCATTTGGCTGGAACGGGTGTCTAAGCACCCGGGGAGAGGAGGCCTGAGAAGGCCACAGTCGCGCCGGGGTTCGCGGAAGATTGCGTTTTCGTGTTCCCGTGTCCCCGGCAAAGCGACAACGCAGGTGCAATGTGGGTTTTTTAGTGGGTACCCTGTAACTCTCACATACCCCTGATGCCTACCTGCCTGCCTGTGGCGGGGGATCCATAAAGGATTTTTCCAACGTAAAAAAAAAGGGGGTCGATCCCCACAGTTTTTAACGATTCCGCAAGCCCGTGTTGTCAGAAAAGGAGACAGTGGCTGCCTAACGTCGGGAATGTCGGATTTCCGATCTGAGATTGCGGCTTTGTATCTCAGACACTAGTAAGTAAAGTATTATAATAATAATTTGTTCTTTCTGATTGCAGAGAGTGATATAAAACCAAATTGATATCTGTTTCAGCATATACATATAATAGGGCATAAAAAAGGCACTTTTTTCGTAATTTTTTACGTACGTTTTTTTTATAGTTGCCTTTCGGTTATATTTTATTAACTATTAATCTAAACATTTTATTAATTCATCCAACTATACTTTATAATACTTGGCTTAAACTTTAAAAACATTATCATGACTAATGTACACTTTGTGTGCGATTGTGTAACTCTCTAACAAATTGACTATTTAAGGTCATATTCACACATTGTTCCATCAAGTCAATAGTTCATGTTACAATACATTACTACCTTTAGGAAGAGCAGGCCAACATCTATCAATAGCTATCATATAACATTTTAAAAATACTATTATTGATGGTATAAACCAATACCAAGTGATAACAAAGAGGTTAAACACCATTCAATGTAGATAAATACAGGAAAGACTCAAAAGGCCATCTGCTATACCAGTTAACAAAGTTGAATTTCCAATTTTTTTTTATATCAGTAGAGATAAGAAGGCTTCTTTAAGTATGAGATTTAAGGTATTATGATCAACCAATTGTAATTTTGAAATGTTAAACTAAGTAGGTTCCAATTGCAGTAATTCTTTGCATAAAATTTGTTACAAATTTTTGTTTCAGATCAATCATAATATATCTTTAGTTCTTTTTAATTGACATTATTTTCTTTCAATTTCACTGAAAACAAGGCACCATTGGATTGTAGTGATATACAAATGTAAGAATCAAAGCTATGCTAAATTATTGCTCCATAATATTGGTTTAAAATTCTGACCATTTCAAAATGTGCACCAATCATGGCACAGAGCAATTATTATACAAGTAATTTCACCAAAAAGGAAACTTAAAAAACAAAACTTCCCTCTCAAGAGCAATAATTGCCTCATATATATTGATAATATAACATATTTACGCTGACTGATTACATTATGACAAATAAGATAGTAGTAATGCCTGTAATATACAACCTATTTTATTTATCTTTTAGTTGTCATGTCAAGTCAAAATAAATATCACATTCAATGTCATGTCTTTGAGACCAATTATTTTATGTTAAATGTATTTACTAAAACTTGTGCACGAACAAGTCTACAAATAATGTAATAAAAATATTTAATGCTGGGTAAAGTAAAAATCTGCAGATTATAATTGAAATTTCAAGTTGCAAACAACTTAGCAATATCATCAAGTTCACTTTAATTTCTGAGTAATAAAGTAATGAATACGTGAAAAATTAGTTTTTCAACACATTTGCTTGAAGCATATTTAGAAAAAACAAATTGCTGAATAATTTCTAATTCAAGTTTTTCAAACTTTTTGTTAATTAACAAATGTTTTTACTGTTTTCTTTAGGAAGAGACAAAATGTAAATTAAACATACATTCCAAAATTCATTGTGTAAACTAGTGGCGCGAAACGAGCTTTATTATTTACGTAGTAATCATGACGTCAATAACCATATGTATGAGCCACGTGTCGTCATATATATTTGTCGGACGTATTCCAAACACAAATAAACAGCCTTGATTAATGTCACGTAGAAACGTGCAGCTATAACATTCTAATGCCGTCAATATATCTACAAGAATGGATTGAAATAAAATCAATAAATGTTATATTCTTTTATAGACTACCTATTAATTTTCAACCGAATTTCTTTCCGTTATTTACGTAGATGAAATGACAAAATATTGATATATATTCTATGATAACACGTAAAGCGTCGCTTTATAGATTGACGCAAAAGCATAAATGAAAGTGTTTAGGATTTAACTTCATGTTTAATTTATAGGCATCTCATGTAAACGTTAGCATGCACACACAATTTAAATCTTATTAAATTCCATGAGTACCGGTACATGACTGGATAAAGAATTTTAAAATTACTTTTTTTTTAATATCTTTAGTATTATCAAAAACATTTTAACAGTAAAATTATATAAAAACATTACTATTTATATAAAGTATTATTTGAAATAATTTCACTCACCAAAAGAGATATATAAAAACAAATTCCGTTATTTATTTCCTAGATGTTTCGTGTGGTTGTCATATATTTTAGTTTCACTACCATATTGGAGACGCTAGTGAGTCACAATTAATCCATAGACAAAAAAACGGTATTTTGTTTTATAACTTTAAACCGATTTGTAGTTATGAGCGATCTAATACTAAATTGAGAACTAAGTAAGATTAAATAAAGTAACTACTACCTTATATTTCGTCTATCCTTGAAAAGAAAACCTAACGACGTAAGCTTACGAATCTCCTGAGCATGTCTTTTACTTTTTGTTGTCATATCCTTATTTGATCCTACAATTATAAAAAGCCATAAGTCAATCATGATTCTAAACACAACAAATAGCGAGAAAATAAGAAAGACCTCTTTTCTTCTGGTATATAAATATCACGTGATAAATTAATAACAATAAACTAATACTCTTAGTTAAACGTTAAATCCATATTTCAATGTTTAAATAAACGGAGACATTAAATTATATGAGCTTTTTCTTAAAAAAATTGTGTATCGCTGTCCGCTTGTCGGTATAATTTTTTTATGTGAAAGTTCAATGATGATCACTGTGCATGGACATTTGGAACACCCGTAGGCAGGGCCAGATTTAGAGGTCTGGAGGCCTCAGGGCAACAAAGGAGTGGAGGCCCCTTGCCCCCAAATTATTTTCTATTGATTTCTATTAATATTTAATTTAATCATGTTAATACAATACTTTGTAGATAGAAGTAAAACGCGAAAAAAAATATGCACGGTAAAGTTGTTTACTATTGTTTACTAGTCTGAATTTGATTTTTTTTCCGAAGTCTCTATTGTGGTGGCCCCGGGGCTGTTGCCCCGGTTGCCCTCCCCTAAATCCGGCTCTGCCCGTAGGCTTACAGATGCTATGCCACTTTATTAAAAAGTATACTACGGGCAGAGCATATATGTATATGTTTGTTCGTATTTATAAATCCAACCAGACGAGGGAACAAGTAAAAAGTTTCCATTTATTCTAAGATGTCTTTTGATTTACTGAATTCAAAATCGTTTAAAAGTCATTCAACAAAGTTGATCGACTTTTTGATTTTTCTCTTGTAAATCTATTATCTTTTTAATTATCATTTCGTTTATTCTCTTGTATTCCACATGTAATATAATTTTGTATTCCCCATTTTGTTTACGGGCCCCGGGGATTTTGTGTTTTCGAAATTTTTTATTTACTTTTAGAATAAGGCCACATTTATGAAATTCTCATTCTTATTAATTACTGAGCAAAATACAGTGTATAACAATATTTTTGTATTATTTATTTTATTTGTATTATACCGAAAAATAAAAACACCGATAAATATAATTACCGATATTTCAATGCCTAGTCGAGTCGATCGAATGTGACATTTCTGATTCTGCATTCGGGCGGGGGTCGGGGGTGAAGAGTGGCTTAGAGAGAGGGGTGTATTTCAGCTTCTCGAGTGGATGTGCGATTCTTAAAATTTCAAATGCAATATTATTAATATTATGAACAAAACTGTACGCAGTAGTCTATAGTGAAAAATTAATGATATTTATTAAGCTTCTATTTATGTGTTTAATTTGTTATAACGTTATTTAATTAGTGCGCATAACACTACTACTGCCGATGTTTAAAATATGTTATTATTGGTATATTTTTTAATTGCACACTTCATTAAATAATAAGAAATATTTATAAAGATAACTCTTTTGAAGGAGTGTCGTTGAAAAATTTTTTCAACTAAGCGAAAAATAATCACGCGCGTTTCGTACAGATACAATTATTTTTAATAACACCGCATAAAAGTGCGTTTCAAGATGTCCGATGGACACGGGGAGGCGAACCAACAAAGGAAAGAGAGCGTTGTGACAGCCAACGTTCCCGGCGATAGTCCGGTGACTGATCCCGGTCATGTTAGGAGTGGAAACGCCGAGGGTGCTGCTGGGAAATTTGACGGTCAACGCGGGAAGTCCGGAGCCTTGAAGAAGTCCGCCAGATATCGTAGCAGATCCCTGTCAGCCTCATCTGCTGATTCCTACAGCTCCACCTCATATACTGGTAAGTTTCTATTATTATTCCTTTCAGCCAGTATCAGTACACTCTAATGCATAGGCCTCCTTTCCTTCCACTTGTCAGATCATTAATTGACAAAAAACACATGTAATCTATATTATTGGTTGTATGTTGTCTGTAATACATAGTTGACATAACAATATCGAAGTAGGGGTAAGAAATATGTAATAAAAATAGTTACTGTTAATTATTTCTATTTATTAGCAATAGTCTCCTCTGCCTAATCAATCTGCTTATATGGTATTCAATAAATTAGCATTTCTCAGCTTTAAAGTAGTAAAGCATCAGCCTATACATGTCCCACTGCTGGCCAAAGGCCTTCTCTGTAAAGAGATCTGTAAGAGATCACTGCGGATTGATGTACTCCACATATCTTCAAAATATTTTTTATATTCTTATTCTTATTCTTATTCTTTATTGTACACAAAAAACAAAAAATACAGTTACAAATAAAGGATTACAAAAAAGACTGTACAAAGGCGAGCTTAACCCTAAACAGACCTTCTCTGCCAGCAAGCCTTTCGTAATAATTAAAAATAAATAAGTAATGAAAGGAAAATAGGTAGGTGTGTACAATGAAAATTAACTTACAGACTAAAATAAGTAATTGAATAATTCTTAATACATAATACATAATTATAATTATAACACATATACTACTACATACTAATACAATATAAAAAAAAAGAATATACTAATATTATTTTTGTTATTATTTCGGAAATATGCAGGTTTCCTCACTATGTTTTCCTTCACCGCTGAGCATGTGATAATTCAGCAATTAAAATCGACAATGTCATTGGTACTGGCACCGAGAATCGAACTCAGGTTGCTCGAGTATATTAAATTAAAGGCGAGTACCCGGACACTGAGCTATCACGGCTCTTAGCTGTAAGATCTTTTATATACTAAGGTGCATATTCTGTGCAAATACTTCATATTTCTTGAAATATGTTGTTAGAACAATCATGGAAATATACTTGAGTGAAAATAAATGTAAACAATGTCTTTTAAGCTTATACAAGGTTTGGTGTCTTGGTTATTATTTTCATGAATGAAAGTTTTATACAATAAATATTCAATGGTGGCTTGATCTTTGTTAGTTTTGGGATGATTGTTTTGTAGATTTTGAACAGCAACTTTTGGCATAAGCATTGCATCTAAAGCATTAGTGCTCAAGTACTCTTAGATAATAAAGTTAAGTGTATGATAAGACCAATGACTCTAAATAGAATAAAATAATGTGCTTCTATTAACACCTTACTTAGAAACAGGGGGCCATTGTATTTGTGAATAATCAAATGTTTGTATTTTTGCAAAATAAGTATCCCATTAGACTTTTTAATGAATAGATAGACCAGACCTTAGGAGCGTGTGATCTTCCAATGTAGATAATAATAATAATAATAATAATACGATCCTTTGTCATCTAGGCGAGCGGATGACGGCGGCGGAATACCGGATAAGGATACGACGGGGTATTTTCCAGGGCGACTGTTTGAGTCCAATATGGTTTTGCCTCTCCCTGAATCCTCTCAGCGTGTTACTGGGGGGCTCGGGGGGAGGATTTCAGCTCCGGAGAGGAGGGACAAAAGTGACCCACCTTTTCTACATGGATGACCTCAAATTATTCGCCTCCAATCGCTCCCATTTGATGGAATTGCTTAAAGTCACTTGTGATTTCAGCAATTCTATCAAAATGGAGCTCGGGACGGATAAGTGTGCGGTCCTTCATGTCGAAAGGGGTAGGGTTACTAATACGGAGGGCATAGACTTATCTATGCCCGTTAACATAAGGACCCTCTCTGAGGCTGAAACATACCGATACCTGGGTATGTCACAAAACATGTGTATCGATGAGGCTGGCATGAAACAGTCAGTTCGTGACGTGTTTTTTGCACGCCTGACAAAGGTGTTTAATAGCCATTTGTCAGGCGGGAACAAGGCACGTGCTTTTAACGGCTGGGTCATGCCAGTCCTCATGTATACCTTTGGCATACTCAGGTGGACTCAAACTGAGCTCAACGCCCTGGACCGAAAAGTCCGCACAACTATGACGTCCCACAGAATGCATCATCCGAGATCGTCAGTGATGAGGCTGTACCTGCCGCGGAAGCATGGCGGGAGGGGCTTTTTGAGCGCCCTTACCATGCACAATCGCGAGGTGTGCAGCCTCCGTAACTTCTTTCTGGCGAGATCGGATGAGATCTACACGGACGTCATTAGTTGTGATAAAGGACTTACCCCTCTATCCTTAGCCAACGAGCAATGGCAGGACCCGGGAGTACTGAGCGTTTCCGACCGAGAGGCTGTATGGAAGGAGAAAGAGCTCCACGGGAGGTTCTACAAGGCTCTACACGAGCCTTTCGTAGATACTGTTGCCTCCCTGAACTGGCTACGTTTCGGTGACCTCTTTGGGGAAACCGAAGGTTTTGTCTGTGCGATACAGGATCAGGTTATTAAGACGAACAACTATAGGAGATACATCCTAAAGGATGGCACCGTCGACATCTGTCGAGCTTGTCGCCATCCCGGGGAGTCGCTTCGGCATGTTATTTCCGGTTGTTCCATGCTTTCTAACTCTGAGTATCTGCATAGACACAACCTAGTAGCCAGAATCTTACACCAGGAGCTCGCTCTGAAATACGGCCTCGTGGTTCGAAAACTGCCGTACTACAAGTACTATCCGGAAGCCGTGCTCGAAAATGACCGCGCCAGGCTCTATTGGGACCGGCCCATCATCACGGACAGGACGATTGTTGCGAACAAACCTGATATCGTGGTGATGGACCGGGCACAGTCGCGGGTATTTTTGGTCGACATTACCATTCCATATGACGAAAACCTCGTGAAAGCCGAAACAGATAAGAAGACAAAGTATCTGGACCTGGCTCACGAGGTGACCGACATGTGGGGTGGTGTGCCGACTGAAATTATCCCGATAGTCGTTTCTGCCAATGGGTTAATCCCAGTCAGCCTCTCTAAACATCTGAGGCGACTGGGACTCCGGGACGGATCGCTCCAAGCTCAAATGCAGAAGGCGGTGCTCCTCGATACCGCCCGCATCGTCCGCCGGTTTCTCTCCCTTTCGCCCTAACCCTCGGCCGTTTGGTCTCCCCTGCCGAGGGCTTCCGTCTGGTTGGGTCCTATTTATATATGTATTATATAAAATATTTATATATATGTTTATTTTTATCCATAATATTTATTTTATATATGCAATATATATCTTTATTTTTATTTATAAACCCAACCAGACGAGAAAACAAATGAATATCCCCATATAATAATAATAATAATAATAAATGTCTCCTGCTCAGAATGGATGTCGGGGCGGCGGTCGTGGAACCAAGGAACCGCTTCTCACCGACGCGGTCATTGGCAAAATGGTTAAACGCAACCGTCGGAACTTCTCCGCCGCCTGGATAGACTACAAAAGGGCATTCGACTCTGTGCCCCATACATGGCTAAAGAGGGTCCTCGAACTGTACAAAGTAGACTGTACAGTAAGAGACTTCCTCGAGCACTGTATGGGGCAATGGAGTACGATCCTTTGTCATCTAGGCGAGCGGATGACGGCTGCGGAATACCGGATAAGGATACGGGGGACGGGGTATTTTCCAGGGCGACTGTTTGAGTCCAATATGGTTTTGTCTCTCCCTGAATCCTCTCAGCGTGTTACTGGGGGGCTCGGGGGGAGGATTTCAGCTTCGGAGAGGAGGGTCAAAAGTGACCCACCTTTTCCACATGGATGGCCTCAAATTATTCGCCTCCAATCGCTCCCATTTGATGGAATTGCTTAAAGTCACTTATGATTTCAGCAATTCAATCAAAATGGAGCTCGGGACGGATAAGTGTGTGGTCCTTCATGTCGAAAGGGGTAAGGTCACTAATACGGAGGGCATAGACTTATCTATGCCCGTTAACATAAGGACCCTCTCTCAGGCTGAAACATACCGATACCTGGGTATGTCACAAAATATGTGTATCGATGAGGCTGGCATGAAACAGTCAGTTCGTGATGTGTTTTTTTTGCACGCCTGACAAAGGTGTTTAACAGCCATTTGTCAGGCGTGAACAAGGCACGCGCATTTAACGGCTGGGTCATGCCAGTCCTCATGTATACCTTTGGCATACTCAGGTGGACTCAAACTGAGCTCAATGCCCTTGACCGAAAAGTCCGCACAACTATGACGTCCCACAGAATGCATCATCCGAGATCGTCAGTGATGAGGCTGTACCTGCCGCGGAAGCATGGCGGGAGGGGCTTTTTGAGCGCCCTTACCATGCACAATCGCGAGGTGTGCAGCCTCCGCAACTACTTCCTGGCGAGATCGGATGAGTCAATCTACACGGACGTCATTAGTTGTGATAAAGGACTTACCCCTCTATCCTTAGCCAACGAGCAATGGCAGGACCCGGGAGTGCTGAGCGTTTCCGACCGGGAGGCCGTATGGAAGGAGAAAGAGCTCCACGGGAGGTTCTACAAGGCCCTACACGAGCCTTTCGTAGATACTACTGCCTCCCTCAAGTCGCTTCGGCATGTTATTTCCGGTTGTTCCATGCTTTCTAACTCTGAGTATCTGCATAGACACAACCTAGTAGCCAGAATCCTACACCAGGAGCTCGCTCTGAAATACGGCCTCGTGGATCGGAAACTGCCGTACTATAAGTACTCTCCGGAGGCCGTGCTCGAAAATGACCGCGCCAGGCTCTATTGGGACCGGCCCATCATCACGGACAGGACGATTGTCGCGAACAAACCTGACATCCTGGTGATGGACCGGGCACAGTCGCGGGTATTTTTGGTCGACATTACCATTCCATATGACGAGAATCTCGTGAAAGCCGAAACAGATAAGAAGACAAAGTATGTGGACCTGGCTCACGAGGTGACCGACATGTGGGGGGTTAATCCCAGTCAGCCTCTCCAAACATCTGAGGCGACTGGGACTCCGGGACGGATCGCTCCAAGCTCAAATGCA